GCTTAGGGTTTAGGGTTTAGGGTTTAGGGTTAGGCGTCACAATAAATTACTTACTATTAGTATTCCCTTGGTCCCTTTGTAACATTAATATAACAACCCCAAACCCCTGTTCTAATTGTTAAGGCCCCTTTATGAGGGCTTCTTTAAGGGCGCGGAGGATTGTCTTGAGGGGCGTGAAGGGCCTCTTTTACGGGCTCCTTCAGCGGGCCTACCAGGTGGCCTCACTGTGTGTTGTCCTGCGTATTGGTGCATTTTGGCTGAAGGTCCAGCTGTTTTGCTTCTTGGTGCGTCTTTGATGTTGTTTATTGGCACGTCTGGGGCTTGATGTGTTGTTAGTTTACAATTCCTTAGGGTAGTTGCATGGTCCCTTAGCACGGGCCATTAAATGGGGACCCCTTATATACCCGAAAAAAAACCCAATGGCCAATACTTCAGAACCCTTTAAAGAAGGTAAGGGGTAATTATTAGGGCCCATATAAGTACGCTTACAACAATGAAACTGTTGTGCATGCACAAGATATTCTGGGACCAAGGGGTGGGTGACCCGGGTGCTCAGTGGTGTCAGTGTTTTGTACTGCCTGGACTTGAGATGCTGAAGCCTGAGACCGAAACTGGTCCAAGCCCTAAACCCTAAACCCTAGACCCTAAACCCTCAACCCTAATCCCGAAACCCTAAACCCTAAACCTGAATCCCTTTTCCCCAAACCCAGGGTTTAGGGTTTAGGGTTTAGGGTTTAGGGCTTCGGGCTTAGGGCAGTCTGCGGTGTGGAGGTCACTTCTCAAAACCCGCGCAACTCCTAACCCCCCAAAACCCCCCTCAACCCCAAAAACCCCAACCCCACACCCTAAACCCTAAACCCTAAACCCTAAACCCTAAACCCTAAACCCTAAACCCTAAACCCTAAACCCTAAACCCTAAACCCTAAACCCCTAAACCCTAAACCCTAAACCCTAAACCCTAAACCCTAAACCCTATAAACCCTAAACCCTAACCCTCAAGCCCCCCAAACCGGAACAGGCCTGCGTCCGGCTAACTGCCGACGTGTCCCACGCAGACGCCACGGCGACCTGGCCCCGAGGTTCGGGCAGGGCCTCGGAGAGGGGGGGAGGAGGTTTGCGTTCTTTTTTCCCTAGACCCTAAACCCTAAACCCCTAATCCCTAAACCCTAAACCCTAAACCCTAGACCCTAGACCCTAAACCGCAAACCCAGGGTTTCGTGCGCAGGACCCCAAGCACGCGAGACCCTAGACCCAGGGCCCGAGATGTAAAAAGCAAAGGGCTTCGCAAGCCCGGCTCAGGCAGAGACGCTGAGGCCCCGGCAACGAACTTCTCGCATTTCGCGGAGGCGCCTCAGATGCGGTTGCCTTGCTAGCCCGGTGGTACCCTTTGCCCTATTGTTTGGTTCAAGGTCCCCCTAGTAAAGTAGCAAACCCTAAACCCTAAACCCTAAACCCTAAACCCTAAACCCTAAACCCTAAACCCTAAACCCTAAACCCTAAACCCTAAACCCTAAACCCTAAACCCTAAACCTAAAAATGGCACCCTAATTATAATATGCTTCCTTAGCTTCAGACCTGGGGTTCAGTTGGGGTTGGGGGTTTGGGGGTTTAGGGCGTAGGGTTTAGAGTTCAGCGTTTTGGTTTTAGGGCGGCAATCAGCAACTCAATGTTAGCAAGCAATAAGTACACAGGCTGTGTTGGACTTGTCTCAGCATTATGCCAACACTTCTCTGCTCAAGCCTTGCTTCGTTTTGCCGCAACCCCTAAACCCAATTCTTAAACCGTAACCCTAAACCCTAAACCCTAAACCCTAAACTCTAAACCTTCAACCCTAAACCCTAAACCCTAAACCCTACACCCTTGTTTTGGCGCAGGCGGTGGCGGCAGCGTCCATGCCCCTGCAGGGCGACACCTCTCACGCGCGCGAGGCCTTTGGCTGTTGCGAGCTATTCGGTTAGGGTTGAGGGTTTAGGGATTAGGGTTTAGGATTCAGGGTTCTGGGTTGAGGGTTAAGGGTTTAGGGTTTAGGGCTTGCGGTTTTGAGTAAGTGTTTGGTTTGGTTCAGGTGTTAAGGTTCATGTTTTAGGTTTGAGGTTTAGCGTGTAAGATGGTGTAAGGTTCAAGTTTTAGGGTGTAGGGTGTGGGGGTCAAGGTTCAGGACCTAGGGTTGTAAGTAAACAGTAGGGTAGCTATAGTTAGAACTGCACGACATTTCTAACCCGAAACCCTAGACCCGAACCCTAAACCCTAAACCCGAAATCCTTACTGGAGGTACTTGTGTAGCCCTGCCTCCAAGTCTGCATGGTGATTGAGAAGGTTCTTACGGCTCTTGGACTCTATGTATCTAAGCCTGAGCCCCTACACCCTCAGCCCTGGAACGCAAAATCACAAGGATGGGTGTTCGGGTGTTGTGGCAGCTTGGGAAATGCAATCGGTTTAGGATACCCTAAACCCGAAACCCTCAACCCTAAACCCTAAACCCTAAAAGGGTTCCCCGGAACCTTAATCAAGGGATCAAAGCTCGTACCCCGAAGGTTGTGCGCCTCAGTATACTCCGACTATGGCAGGTCTATTGTTTTAGGGATCTGTAACAAGGGTCCCCCAAACCCCAAGGGTACAACCGCAAGGGTCCAAGGTACAACCCCTAAACCCCTAAACCCCTAAACCCCTAAACCCCAAACCCCAAACCCCAAACCCCAAACCCCAAACCCCAAACCCCAAACCCCAAACCCCAAACCCCAAACCCCAAACCCCAAACCCTAAACCCTAACCCTAAACCCTAATTAAACCCTAATTCAACCCTAAATCCTAAACCTTAAACCCTAAACCCTAAGCCCCAAACCCTAAACCCTAAACCCTAAACCCTAAACCCTAAACCCTAAACCCTAAACCCTAAACCCTAAACCTTAAGGTACAACCCCTAGAGCCATCAGAGGCTGGCAGTTGCCCTGAGGTGCGCCTCGATGTGCGAAACGGGCATCTCCTGTGCCTCATCAGGCCACATTTGGGGTTTAGGGTTTAGGGTTTCGGGTTTGGGGTTTGGGGTTTGGGGTTTAGGATTCAGAGGTGCGGTTCTTGCACAAACAGCAACTCCCGGAAACGAGAATTTAATCTCGCGCAGCTACTCTTCACGCTTCGGGTTTAGGGTTTCGGGGCACTTTTCTTTCGTTGCGCCGTCTTGCAGGATCCTCGACGATGCATCGGCGAGGCGCAAGGGGCCGACACCTTATCAACCTTAATAAACCTTAGTAAACCTTAATTAAGCTTAGTTAACCTTAATTAACCTTAATCAACCTTAATTGACCTTAATGAACCTTAATCAACCTACTTGAACCTAATTTAACCTTAATTAACCGGAATTAACCTTAATTAACCTTAAAAAGCCTTAGTAAGCTTAGTAAACCGTAACAAGCCTTAGAAAGCCTTAACAACCTTAGTAAACCTGAATAAGCCTTAAAAAGCCTGAGTAAACCTTTTTTTCTGACCTTATATCTTGCGCACCATGCTAGCGATAAACCTTATAGAAGCCTTGTAAACCTTATAGACCTTATAAACCCCTTCTAACGCCTTTAAAGCCTGTAAACCTTGTGTAACACCTTATAAACCTCAACAACAGGTTGGCGGGCACCCACGCTCAACTGAACCGCACAGTTCTCGTCGATCCACACAGCACCGTCTATATCACACCTCGGGCTCCTTTCAATGGTGTCACTGCGCCTGGTTTAGGGTTTAGGGTTTCGGGTTTAGGGTTTAAGGTTAAGCTCTGAGCCCTAAGCCCTAAGCCCTAAGCCCTAAGCCCTAAGCCCTAAGCCCTAAGCCCTAAGCCCTAAGCCCTAAGCCCTAAGCCCTAAGCCCTAAGCCTAAGCCCTAAGCCCTAAGCCCTAAGCCCTAAGCCCTAAGCCCTAAGCCTTAAGCCCTAAGCCCTAAACCCCTAAACCCCAAGGGTCTGTCCTGCGGATAGGTCGGCAGCTGGAACCCTGACGGCGCGGCTGCACCAGGCTAAAAGCCCAGCCGTTGTGGACCCTAAATCCTGAGCCCTACTTGAAGGCTTATGAACCTTTAGGGTTTAGGGTGTAGGGTTTAGGGTTTAGGGTTTAGGGTTTAGGGTATAGGGTATAGGGTCTGGGTAGGGTTTGGACCCTAGGGTTTTCGGGGTTCGGGGTTTAGGGTTTAATTCTATAAGGTTTTGGTTTTAGTGTTCGGGGGTCGGGCTCAGTGATGCCCTTTTTGCTTGTTTTTGCTTTGAGGTTCCCCACACTCCTTTCCGCTCAGAAACTGTACAAGTAGGCGAAACGGATTGACAAGCTCTCCATTCATCAGGCTTTAGGGTTAAACCCCAAGCCCTAAGCCCCTAAACTCGAAACTGCAAACCCTAAGCCCCAAGCCCCAAACCCTAAATCCTAAACCCGAAGCCTCATCTGCACCGCAGAGACGCCACAGTCTCCCAGAACCTTAACACCCTAACACCCAACAGAAACCCCAGATCCTAAGCCCAAGCGCACAACCTGGCCTAAACCCCAAATCCTAAACCCTAAACCCTAAACCGTGGGGTCTAAACCCTAAACCCCAAACCCTAAACCCGATGGTCCAAACCCTAAATCCTAAATCCTAATCCCAGATAGAACTGTCAAGCCGGGCTTTTCACAACCTCCAGGTGAGGGACTACATGCCCCTGGTGAGCGCAAACAAGGCCTGAAAGCCTTATAGGGTTCAGGGTTCATAGGGTTTAGGGTTTAGGATTCTGGGTTTAGGGTTTAGGGTTTAGGGTTTCAGGTTTAGGGTTTAGAGTGTCTGCAAGCAAAGTCACAAGAGTAAGCTACCTCAGGGTCCTAGCACCCGCCATGCGGTTCAGTCAGGGTTTAGGGTTAGGGTGTAGGGTTTAGGAGGCCCTGAGCCCTTTTAAGAGCCACTGTCAATGAAGGTTCAGGAAACTTACTTTGTGCACGGTCCCTTAAACCCAAAACCTATCTTGTGCCAAAGTTCGGGTGCTTGAGACAAAAATGAGCCAAGCTTCGCGGCGCAAGGATGCAGATGGCGAGGCTTCTTTCAGGGTTCAGGGTTTAGTCATGGTTGGAGCGAGTCTGACTTGGCTGGCATGTATTTCCTGCGCGACGGCCAGCCAGCGAGGAGCATCCGATGAGGCTTTCTGCCGGGACGGCGAGCTTCATTGGCAGATCACTTTCCTGCAAGTGGCTGCACACATCGATGAAGAGGTTCAGGGAGTGGAGCCTATCTTTGCGAACAGCTCCCTTGCTTCCAACCGTTCGAGCTTGCCTCTGCAGACATGGCGTGAAGCCTTGCAAGACCTGTCTCTTCATGCTGTTAATGAGAAGTTCAGTGGGATTAACACCAACGTCGGGCCACCTCTACTCCCGACGATCACGGAAGATCTCTGCAAGGTTCTGGTCCTTGGAACCTTTGCGTGCTTCTTCGTGCTCTTCATCTGCTTGCTGGCCTGTGGCCTGCCGAGGAAAGCGCCGCAGCATCCGAGCGTCAAGGGCGGCTGTTCCATGAGTTGGGTAGTCTTCATGGGGATGGTCTTCACATTCACATATTTCACCACGGACCAGTATGTGCCGAGCCTCCCGCAGATGGGTGTTGAGTTGTCTGGTTCTCAAGCTCTGATGAGTGCAACGGTACAGCTGAACTTCATTGTGAAAGCAGTTTCCGGGATATTCACTGCAAGCCTGTCGGATCGTATCGGTCGAAGACCCACTCTAGTGATGTGCTTGTTCTTGTTGACGTTAGCGAGCTTCTGCTGTGGATGTGCTGGTCGTGTGGAATGGTTTGTTGCTGCACGCGTTCTTCAGGGTGTCGGGGAGTCTTGTGAGCCGGTCATTTTTGCCATGACGCGAGACTTCTTCTCAAAGCCTGAGGACAGATTCTCGGATGGCCAGTGGTGCCCTTGTTCCCTTTCTTTGGGGGGTAGGTTCCTTCATAAGCTCCTTTAAGCAAGAAACGGGCACCCTCTTTTCTCCTAGGTTATTGGGCAACCTAGGATTTGGAGTAACCGCTGCGTACCAGATCATGGCGATCGGTGGCATGTCAACAGCACCGGTTGCTGGAGGCTTTCTTTCCCAATTCTTCGGATGGCGTCTGTCGTTCTTTGTGCTCACTGCGATATGGGGCGCGCTCGCGTTGTACGCCTGTATGAACATGGTTGAAAGTTGTCCTGATCAGGAGAGCGAAGACTATTTGAAAGATGCCGCGAAGATGTTTGACTCGCACCTTCTCTGCTTGCTCTTGACTCAAAGCTGTTTGGTGAGCGCATACTTCTGCTTTAACTCCAATGTCAGCTACCTTGTCGAAAGAGTGTTCAACAAATCCTCAGCGACTTCTTCTGTGATCATGTTGGCATATGCAGTGGCGACGGGCATTGGCATTTTCGTCATGAAGATGTTCCAGCGAGCAAGTGTTTTTCTCGTTGCCAAGATCGCCGTGTCGCTTTTTGCTTTGGCCGGCATCATGTCTTTCATCCTTGGAATCTGCTTCCCTGAATTTATTTGGGCATATCTGCTTGGCTCATTTCTGCAAGCCTGTTTTCTTACCGTCTCAGTCATCTCCGTGAATGTCTTGTTTTACCAGCCGCTGACCAGTAGTGTCGGGATGGCTGCGTCCTCGGATTCCTTCGCAAGGATGATTGTCCCATGCCTTTACTCCATGATGGCCACGCAAGCCCTGATACATGCCAGCGCCAGTGGCCTCATACATTTCCAGGCAGGCGCATGTATGGCTGCCGGCTTGGCCTTTGCCGGCTTTGCCTTATGGCCTCCCAAATGGGCCACAGAAGCTTCAGAGGCAAAGTAGCAGGACCCACCAATGAGTGGGAAAGCTCCCTTACAGACCGTGAAAACAGCGAGTTGGTAGTTGGGGTTGTGTTCCAGGGCAGGGCAGGGGGGGGACAACCCCAACAGCTGCAACCAAGAGTGCGAGGCTCTGTGTCCACGAGACATAGCTTAGCTTATGCGTTCGGAAATAAAAATAAATACCCAAATTGTGATTTAGGGTTAGGGTTAAGTTTGTTTGGGGTCAAAAACGTACTTCTACTTGACGGGGGTGGGGGCGAAGGGGTGGTCCATTCTTGTGAAGCTGTGAAGCGCTCTAGCGCGAGGGCTCGTCGGGTTGTGTTTCTTTCCATGCCCCTACTTTAGAGCAACCATGCAGACCATGCATGTAACTTTCATATGAAAGAGGGTTTATGCCGCTGTAATTGGTGAGTGTTACAACTTGGTGAGTGTGTTTTTGGGCGTCCTTTTGGGAATACTAAGTGTACGTTCTTGACTTCCGTGCTGAGTACTGTCTCATTTTCATATGATCTTAGGGTTTGGGGGTGAGGGTTAGGGTTTAGGGTTTAGGGTTTAGGGTTTAGGGTTTAGGGTTTAGGGTTTAGGGTTTAGGGTTTAGGGTTTAGGGTTTAGGGTTGGACCAGAGTAGGCCTTCATTGGCTCTAGAAGAATGAATGTAGGGGTAGTTTCGTGGGCCCTCAATGTGGCCCCCTACCTCCTCTAAAGGGTTCTGATGTATGGGCCCTTAGTTCGTATACGTTATAGAAGGGGTAAACAGGGGCACCCTTTTAAGGGGCGCATATCAAGGGACCATGGAACTACCCTAAGAATTTAGGGGTTTGAGGGTTTAGGGTTTAGGGGTTTAGGGTTCAGGGTTTAGGGTTTAGGGTGCCCTACGGATCCATAGGATACCTTACATCGTGAGCTTCCATATCAACAGGGCGCCCTTGTTGCAAAGGGAGTCCTGCACCTGCCATTCCTAACCATGTAGCCCTAAACCCTAAGCCCTAAGCCCTAAGCCCTAAACCCTAAACCCTAACCCTAAACCCTAAACCCTAAACCCTAAACCCTAAACCCTAAACCGTAAACCCTAAACCCTAAACCCTAAGCCCCCCCCCACCCCCCCTTCGCGCGCCACCCTCCCGCGTTGATGAGGACACCCGGCTCGAGGTGACCATCCTTTGGCCTTTCCAGCACAGCGCTCGGGTTTAGGGGTTTAGGGCTTAGGGGTCTAGGGTTTAGGGGTTTAGGGTTTAGGGTTTAGGGTTTAGGGGTCTAGGGTTTAGGGTTTAGGGTTTGGGGTTTAGGGTTGAGGGTTCAGGTTTTAGGGTTTGGGGTTTAGGGTTTGGGGTTTAGAGTTTAGGCTTTCGGGTCTGGGCACTCGAGGGCTCCGGAAGTTCGGGAAGTTTAGGGTCTAGGAAGTTTAGGAAGTTTAGGAAGTCTAGGAAGTTTAGGGGTTTTAGGAAGTTTAAGAAGTTTAGGGAGTTTAGGAAGTTTAGGGATTTTAGGAAGTTTAATTAAGAAGTTTAGGGAGTTTAGGAAGTTTAAGAAGTTTAGGAATTGCGAAGTTTAGGACGAAGGGTTTGGGTTCAGGGAGCCTAGGGCGAGGGCTGGCATGCTTTAAGCCACACTCACACTGTTTCGGGTGTCGGGTTCAGGGTTTAGGGTTTATGGTCTGTGCTGGCATGACTTTTTTGTATGGTTTAGGGTTTCGGGTTTAGGGACCCTAATTCTTCAACAGCCTGAACCTCAAGCCCCCTAAGACCTTCATAGTGCCTCAGCCGGCTCCCAGCCACTCAAGTCCTTCCTCTCCTGAAACGTCACCTACATCACTCCCTAAACCCCTATGGGTTTAGGGTTTAGGGTTTAGGGTTTAGGGTTTAGTGTTTAGGGTTGAGTTTTAGGGCTTAAACCCCTAAGCCCCTAAACCCCCAAACCCTTAAACCCCGAATCCCCTAAAACCAAAACCCCCCATGAAGTTCAGTCGCCGAAGGTTACTGTCGAGCAGGTTCTTTCCCCAGAGCCGTGGGGACCCCCAGATCGTCCTCTGAGGAAGGGGTGTGGGCTAGTTGAGAGAATTTGGCTGTTCAGGATGTCCTAACCTAAAGCCCTAAACAAGAAAACCGACGCCGTAAACCCTAAACCGAAGCACACAGTTTGGGGTTCAGGAGGTTCTTCGTAAATAGCCACCAGTGCCTAAACCGTAAACTTGAGCACTAAGCCCTCAACCGCAGAACCCTCGCTTAGGGCTTAGGGTTTGGGGTTCAGGGTGTAAGGGGACAGGACCTGTTCGAGTTCCGCGCTGCTGCAGTTTAGGGTGCATGCTTTAGAGGCTTCCCCAAAACCCCCTACGCACATTAAAGCCCTCGAGCCCTCAACAACCTAAATCCGAAACCATAAATGCCCTAAACCCCAGAATGCTAAACCCGAAAACTTACCCTCAAACCCTTTCCTGCCTAAATCACTGAAACCTAAACCCCTAAAACCTTGAGACCCTAAGACCCTAACACCCCTAAACCCCTAAAGCCCTACAGCCCTAAACCCTAACCCTAAACCCTAAACCCTAAACCCTAAACCCTAAACCCTAAACCCTAAACCCTAAACCCTAAACCCTAAACCCTAAACCCTAAACCCCCAAATCCCTGACGCCCCAGAGGGGAGGCTGGCGCCTGCATGGAGCAGATGCTGCGGCCCGCGATGGATGCTGCCCCTTGGGCAGCACATGGCCTCCCAAAGGGACCTGTGGTGGGTTTAGGGTTTAGGGTTTAGGGTTTAGGGTTTAGGGTTTAGGGTTTAGGGTCTAGGGTTTAGGGTTTAGGATTTAGGGTTCAGGGTTTAGGGTTTAGGCTTTAGGGTTTAGGGTTTAGGGTTTAGGATGTAGGGTTTAGGATTTGGGGTTCAGGGTTTAGGGTTTAGGATTAGGGTTCAGGGTTTAGGGTTTAGGGTCTAGGATGTAGGGTTTAGGGCTTGAGGTTTAGGACCCGACAAAGCCCAAACCCTTCCTAGATCTCTCCAAGTAGGTACCCTTCAGGGTACTTTAAGAATGCCTCAGCACCGTCATACAAATGCCGAAGCCCTAAACCCTAAACCCTAAACACTAAACCCTAAACCCTAAACCCTAAACCCTAAACCCTAAACCCGAAACCCTAAACCCTAAACCCCAAACCCGAAACCCTTTCAGGCTCTCAGCAAGCGGGCACTTGTGGGGGGGGCGGCGGGGAAGTGGGGAGCGTGAGTCCTTAACCTACGCAACGCAAGCCGGGGTTTCCGTTAGTTTAGGGAGCCTAAGCCCTAAGCCCTAAACCCTAAACCCTAAACCCTAAACCCTAAACTCTAAACCCAAAACCCTAAACCCTAAACCCTAAACCCTTCACCTGAGGTGGGTTGAGGTTTCGGGTTGGTGTACTGGAGATTTATCCAAGTGTGGGGTTCGGGGTTGCAGGGCGGAGGGCTTGGATCCGAACTTGGCCCACCCTAGGGTTTGGGTTTAGGGTTTAGGGTTTAGGGCTTAGGGCCTAGGGCTTAGGGCTTAGGGTTTAGGGTTAGATTGAAACCCTGAGCCCTCAACCCCAAAGCCTTAAACCCCTAATCAAACACTAAACCCTAAGCCCTTACACCCTAAACACGAAACCCCTAAACCCCACGAAGCTTCGAAAAGAGGAGGTGGAGTGAGTTGGCGACTCGCTGCGAGCACTGTGGGTTTAGAGTTCTAGTTCGGGGGTTGAGGTTTAGGGTTTATAGGGTCAGGGTTTGGGGGGGGGGGGGGGGGTTTGCCCGAAGACCGGAAATTCGAGAGAGCCTGACTCCCGCTCAAACTTTGGAGTAGGGAAGGGAGAGCTCGGAATGAACCATGAAGCAGTTATCGACCCTCAACCCTAACCCTAAACCCTTCAATCCCTCTTGCGGGGTGACCTTGAGAGTTTGGGGGGGGGGGGGGGGGGTCGGGGATCCTCAACCCTAACGCCTAAACCCTAAACCCTAAACCCTAAACCCTAAACCCTAAACCCTAAACCCTAAACCCTAAACCCTAAACCCTAAACCCTAAACCCTAAACCCTAAACCCCCTAAACCCTAAGATGGCAAGGCCTGGGAGCTGCAGGAGGCTGCCTGGAAGCAGGTGCAGGAAGAGGCACCATAAACCCTAAACCCTAAACCCTAAACCCTAAACCCTAAACCCTAAACCCTAAACCCTGAACCCTGAACCCTGAACCCTGAACCCTGAACCCTGAACCCCAAACCCTAAACCTGAATCCTAAACCCTAAGCGCCATGCCCTCAGCCCTAAACCCTGAATTCTCAACCCTTACGCCCGTCCTGCAGTCCCTGAGCCCAAACCCCCCAACCCTAAACCCTAAGAAGCTCCGAGTGTTGCCCACTGCACCGAGGTAGGTTCGAAGCTTCAGGTTTTAGGTTTAGGGTATTTAGGGTTTAAGGTATTTAGGGTATTTAGTGTATTTAGGGTATTTAGGGTATTTAGGGTATTCAGGGTATTTAGGGTACTTAGGGTATTTAGGGTATTTAGGGTATTTAGGATATTTAGGGTATTTAGGGTTTTGGGTTTTGGGTTTAGGGTTGAGGCCCGATTCCACAGATGCCAGGACTCCTCGGGCGACCTCGCGCAACTTTGTTCCTTTCCATCACTGCGCCGGTTTCAGGGAGGCTGGGGCTGCGGGAGTTGGGGTTTAGGGGTTTAGGGTTTAGGGTTTAGGATTTAGGGTTTAGGGTTTAGGGTTTAGGGCTTCGGGTTTAGGGTTTGGGGTTTAGGGTTTGGGGTTTAGGGTTTAGGGTTCGGGGCTTGGGGCTTGGAGCTAGCGGCTTGGGTTTTGGGTTTGGGGTGTGGGGTTTTTGGTTTGGGGCTTGGGGTTTGGGGTTTGGGCGGTTCAGAAACAGAAAGTTAAGTTAAGGTGCCTCTAGCGAGGCATGGATGGTAACTCAGCTCAAGTGGCACCTCGGCAGAGACTCGGACGGGCGACCTTGATCCTGCAAGCGGCGCGAGGTTTGGGAGAAGGGCTCCATGAGTCCAAACAAATCCCAGGAGCCTGCGGTTTAGGGTTTAGGGTTTAGGGTTTAGGGTTTAGGGTTTAGGGTTGCAAACTATCCCTGAGACCAAGGGCTCTGGCCACCTCTGCGACGTCCTCGGCATCCATGCCCACTCGCCTAAACACGGCCTACGCCGGCCTACGCCCCGCCGGAGCTGGAGCATGGGTTCCCTGTGACGCGCTTGCAGGGTTTAGGGTTTAGGGTTTAGGGGTTTAAGGGTTTAGGGGTTTAGGGGTTTAGGGGTTTAGGGGTTTAGGGGTTTAGGGGCTTAGGGGTTTAGGGTTTAGGGTTTAGGGTTTGAAAGATAGAGCCACAAGCTGTGGTTGTTGTTTGCTGACGGTTGCCATGCGACTTTGGTAAATGCTGGTGGGCAGCATCCTTCTGAAGGCCAAGAAGCCCTATACCCTATACCCTAAACCCTAGACCCTGAACCCTGAACCCTCAACCCTCAACCCTCAACCCTCAACCCTCAACCCTCAACCCTCAACCCTCAACCCTAAACCCTAAACCCTAAACCCTAAACCCTAAACCCTAAACCCTAGCCCTAAACCCTAAACCCTAAGCCCTCCCCAGCAACAGATGGTCAGGAGGCCTTCTCCCGGCTGCTGCGGGCCGCCAGCAGGGCCGCACCCCGGATGTGTGGCCCTTCAATGAGGCTCGGGCAGGTTTAGGGTTTAGGGTTTAGGGTTTAGGGTTTAGGGTTTAGGGTTCAGGGTTTAGGGTTTAGGGTTTAGGGTTTAGGGTTTAGGGTTTAGGGTTTAGGGTTTATTGTTTAGGGGTTTTAGGATGTAAGGTTTAGGGGTTTGGGGGTTTTAGGATGTAAGGTTTAGGGTTTAGGGTTTAGGTGGAAGCTCTTTTGACTTAGCAGGTAGGATTACTAAGTTGGGTTCTGGGGATCCCCTGCTTATGGGCCTGGGTGATACTAAGTAGTGTTACTAAGCCGAAGTAGGGTTTAGGGTGCAGGCACAGTGTCCTGTCATAGGGCTTAGGGTTTAGGATTTAGGGTTAGGGTTTGGGGTTTAGGGTGTAGGGTTTAGGGGGCTTAAGGCGCGAGGGTCTTAGGGCTTCAGGGTTTTGCTTGGGTTCAGGTTGAAGGTTTAGCTGGAGCCCCAGTGCCCCATACGGCTGCTCGGGACCATACTACGCACGGTGTGAGCTTAAGCTGGCGGTCTGGAGACGAATCGATGTGACGATTTCGGGTTTAGTGTTAAGGGTTTAGGGTTTAGGGTGTAGGGACGACCACACCGACAGTCAACAGGAAACAGGTTCAGGGCATGCGGGCTTGAGGGCTTCGGGAGTGTGGTGCAGCTAGATTTTGGGAAAACGTTTGAGGGTCTTAGGGCTTCTAGCTGCTTCTACTCTTTATGCTTTTACTAGGGGCAGCTTTGAGGAAAGTAGGGTTTCGGTCGATAGGGCTTGGGGAATTATCATAAAGCGTACAGGTTACTGGAATCCCTCAGTGAAAATTTTGGACCCTGGTTGAGCCCCAACACCCCAACCAGGTCGACGTCGACGACATGGAGTGGCCACTGCCTTTGGCCGACCTCTTCGCGGGCGCGCAGGAGCACCACCGGCGCTGCAAGGACGGGCGCTTCGGAAGGGAGTCAGGATTTAGGGTACGGTGTAGGGTTTAGAGTTTAGGGTGTGGAGGCTTATATAGCAGTGGCGGGGGGGGGGGGGGGGGGGTCAAGTCAAGTAGTGTGAAGCAGCCCTTCTCATTGCAACCCATATGCAGATAGATAAATAATAAATATGAATACACATATACATATATATACATACATACATATGTATGCACAGAAATCTGTATATAGATACAGAGAGTGAATACCAATATAAATAGATTCATCAATCAATAATCAATACATATCCAATGTATGTATGTATGTATGTATGTATGTATGTATGTATGTATGTATGTATGTATGTATGTATGTATGTATGTATGTATGTATGTATGTATGTATGTATTTATGTATGTATGTATGTATGTATGTATGTATGTATGTATGTATGTATGTATGTATGTATGTATGTACATGTACATATATATATATATATATGTAATATATATATATGTATATATATATATAATTGTATGTATGCTTTATAAAGCTATATCGCATATCAAGCGAATCTCATGGCAAGCCAGACCGCTAGCCAAATGCTCGAGTGGATCGCGCAACTCAACACCTTCTCTTGAATAACTCCTAAACCCCAAACTCCGAACTCCTAAAACTCCTAAAACCAAAACTCCTAAACCCCCAAATCCTGAGCAAGGGTGGCTCCGGAATCTGGTCCCTGAATGTAACTTCCAGCCCTTGGACGACGGACATCGGCCGGTTACAACCCTAGACCCTAAACCCTCAACCCTAAGCCCTAAGCCCAAAACCCTAAACCCTAAACCTAAAAGGTGGGAGGCGTGCATGGGAATTCGGCGTGGAGCTCACGGAGGTCGGAGGAACATGGGATGCAGCCAGATCCGATCAAGGCATGGTCATCCAAAACCCTAAACCCTAAACCCTAAACCCTAAACCCGACACCCGACACCCTAAACCTTAAACCCTAAACCCAAGAGCCTGTGGCGGCAGCAAGCAGTGGAGGATGTGGGAGGACGAGACATCCCCTTGGTCGGAATTTCTAGACCTTAGGGTTTGGGGTTTGGGGTTTAGGGTTTGGGTTTGGGGTTTAGGGTTTAGGGTTTAGGGCCAAACCCTAAACCCCGGAATCTTGGGCTGTCGGTGAAGAATGAGCTGGCACACAAGCCAGCGTGGCCCTTTCACACCCCAACCTGCTGCCAGTCTTTCTATCCTACCTACAATACCAGGCACAACTGCCCTGACCTCAAGACCAGAACCCTAAACCCCTTATGCTAACAGTCGTTAATAGGGATTATAACCCTTATCTGTGAGCTGGCGAGGAAGCTTTTGCCCCCGGCAGCGAGTGGGCGTCCGCGCGCGTGGTCTGGGACTCGTTTTTTTTTGGGTAGTCTTGCTGTGCGTTCACGACGCCCAAAAGCCCCATGTGTCAGGAATATATACCTGAGCCCCTAGAATGGTCCGAGTGTAGTTTTAAGTACATTTTATGTCGGGAAGTTGGATTCATTGTTTGGGGTTTAGGGCTGAGGGCTAAGGGCTTCCTGGAGGAACCTCTCCGGATCAATTTCAAGGACGTGTTTTGCTTTCGGTTGTTTTGGGATCCCTACATGGCGCCTTCTCCAAACCAGCCAGGAGCATCCTTCTTCCTACCCGGCTCAACCCTGGGTCAAGCTCTCCCTAAACCCTTAACCCTAAACCCGAAACCCTAAACCCTAAACCCTAAACCCTAAACCCGAAACCCTAAACTCTGTACTCTGCAGAGATGAGAAGGCACCCTACATCGGGTCGGCTCGGTGGTCTAGGTAGAGTTTAAGGGCTTCAGTTTAGGCTTTAGGGCCTAGGGTTTAGGGTTCTTTTTAGACCCTGCAAAACTTTTAAGCAAGAATGGGCATCCATTTTCTACCCAGGTTGCTAGTCAACCCAGCGTTTAGGTTTTAAAGGTGGCCTTTCTGCAGATTGGGTGCTTCGAGTTGCAGGGTGGGTTTAGGGTTTAGGGTGTAGGGTTTAGGGTTTACAGTAAAGTCCAGAAAGTTGGAACATGGTTTAGGGGTGATTCGAGCTGGGTTTCCGGTCAGGATGCCTGTTGGGGTATGGGGAGAAGGATGTTCCAACTTTCCGGAGTTTACTGTAGGGTTTAGGGTTTAGGGTTTAGTGTTTAGGGTTCAGGAACCCCTGAAGACCTTTAGAATACACACCCTACTACCACCATAAATGCGGGGTCGCATGAAGCCCCCTTCTTGCAGTTTCAGCAGGGTTTAGGGTTTAGGGTTTTAGGGTTTAGGGTTTAGGGTTTAGGGCCCCAAACCTCGCAAGTCGCTGTGGCCAGGTTCCAGCCAGCCATGAGCGGCAGGAACAGCTCTGGTGGTCAGCAGGTACGGAGCCCCCTTCTTGCGGTGGGTTTAGAGTTTAGGGTTTAGGGTTTAGGGTTTAGGGTTTAGGGTTCAGGGTTCAGGGTTCAGGGTTTAGGGTTTAGGGTTTGGCGGGGTTTTAGTTGAGGCTTTTTCGCCCTGAGCACAATGATCCCCCCACACTCCCCCCCCCCCCCTCTCTCCCCCCCTAAACTCTAAAACCCTAAATCCTAAATCCTAAACCCTAAATCCTAAACCCTAAACCCTAAACCCCAAACCCCAAACCCGTAGTCGGGCACCCCAAAACCCAGCGGCTCAAGGGTCAGCGCGTTCAGCCCGTTTAGGGTTTAAGGTTTAGGGTTTAGGGTTTAGAGTTTAGAGCCATGGGGTTGCCTAAACCTCAAAACCTCTGAGCCCTTCAGCCCGGAACCCAAAACCGCCTTAACCACAAACCCCAAACACACAAAGCCCCCAAACCCCTACAACCCTAAGCCCTACCCCAAAGTGACCCTGCACATCTCTTCAGGGCATACAGACTACTCTAGGTAAACTAAGCCTGGGTTTGGGGTTTAAGGCTTAGGGTTTGGGCCCAAAGTTTAGGGTGTAGGGTTTAGGGAGCTAAAAAACCGCCATGGGCGCCTCCCTCTGCGCGCCGGACGACGAAGTCGTGGCCGTGCAGTCGACTGTGCATGAATGCCGTTTTCCCTTGTGGGCCGTGAAGGCTGGACCAGGGGCTTGGGCTCGTAAACCCTAAACCCTAAACCCTAAACCCCAAACCCCAAACCCCAAACCCCAAACCCCAAACCCCAAACCCTAAACCCTAAGCCCTAAACCCTAAACCCCAAATCCTACATCCTGCACCGAGTTTTGGGGGTTCAAACCCTGGACCTTGAACCCTGAACCCTCAGAACTCTTGGGGGGTTTGCCCGTAATCAGGCTTAGGGTGATGGGGGTTTCGGGTTTTGGGGCTTCAGGGCTTTGGGGTTTTAGGGTTTTTGGGTTTGAGGGTTTTGGTAGGGTTTTCGGGTCAGCCATCATATGTCACAAATGACAGTAAGCCCAAACCGGAGACCCGGTGCGGGCTTCTCTCCCCTAAACCCTACGCCTTAAACCTCTAAACCCCAAACCCTAAACCCTAAGCCCTAACCCCAAACCCTAAGCCCTAAACCTCGAAACCCTAAACCCTAAACCCTAAACCCTAAGCCCTAAACCCTAAGCCCTTAGGCCCTAAGCCCTAAGCCCTAAGCCCTAAACCCTAAACCCTAAACCCAGGTCAGCGACTTCCTGCTGCTGCAGGGCCCGCCAGAGCCACACCACGTCCTGCAGGAGAAGGGGCTGCTCCACCAATGGCAGCTTATCTCAAGGTTTCAGGGTTTGGGGTTTAGGATTTAAGGTTTAGGGTTTGGGGTTTTAAAGTTTGAGGTTTAGGGGTTTAGGGTTTAGGGTTTAGGGCTTGGGGTTTAGGATTTAAGGTTTAGGGGTTTAGGGTTTGGGGGTTTAGGGAAGCCTATCAGCGAGTTTATCACCCACAGAGAAGCTGTTCGGAGAACGGCGTGGGTTGAGGTTGCTGCCCTAAATAGACCCTATCGTAAACTAGGAAACCCAGTACTGCCCTTATTCCTTTATCTATATATATATATATATATATATATATATTTATTTATGTATATATATATATATATATATATTGTTTTTTTTTTTTTGGGGGGGGGTTTCGGTTCCCTTATAAACCCCTTTAGGCAAAAAAGGGCACCCTTTCTAATCCGGGCAACCTAGTAAGCCGTGTACCTCAAACACCCCTTCAGGATCCGAATCCAAGGCGCTGAAAACAAGATGTCCTGAACCCTAAACCCCACCCCTGGACTCTGAACCTAAGTTCCTTTTAATTTTTTGGGTTCTTAAGAATTAGACTAGGGCTTTGGGGGTATTATCGTATAACTACAAAGGGACCATAGGGAATAATATCAATAAACATTCCGACCCATTTTTTCCCCAAATCCCCCCTGAGCAAGAGCACGCTAGAGAGGCGCCCCGGCATGTTTAGGGTTCAGGGGTTTAGGGTTTAGGGGGTTTAGGGTTTAGGGTTGAGGGTTCAGGGTTTAGGGTTTAGGGTTGTTTACAAACAATTTAGAGAGGCGCCCCGGCATGTTCGTGATCTTCGTCTCCCACCAGTGGCTCAGCTCGACCCACCCGGATCCGCAGGGGCAGCAGGTGGAGGCCCTGCAGAGGTGCGGGGTTTAGGGTTTAGGATTTAGGGTTTAGGGTTTAGGATTTAGGGTTTAGGGTTTAGGGTTTAGAGTTTAGGGTTCATCCTTGGGGGTACGAGCTTGGATCCCTTGAGTACAGCCCAGAAGATTTCAATCCTTGCTTGCCTCAGGTGCCGAAAGCCCCTACAGGCCTACAGCCCCAAAGCCTGAACACCCTAAACCCTGAACCCTGAACCCAAACCCAAGATCCTAAACCCTAAACCCTAAACCCTAAGCCCTAAACCCTAAACCCTAAACCCTAAACCCTAAACCCTAAACCCTGAAGCCTAAAGCCCTAATCCCTAAACCCTAATAACCGTCCAAGAGCCCGAAGCCCCTCGAGGTTGCTCGTCAAAATGATTGACGGATCTGTGAAGGTGCACGAGGACCAGTTCGGCACAGACCCTAAACCCTAAACCCTCAACCCTAAACCCTAAACCCTAAACCTCAAGCCCCCAGCCTTAAGCCTTAAGCCCTAAGCCCTAAGCCCTAAGCCCTAAGCCCTAAGCCCTAAGCCCTAAGCCCTAAGCCCTAAGCCCTAAGCCCTTAGCCCTAAAATAGTCTCGAACCTCAAGCCCACAACTCAGAAACTGGAAGAGGCCAATATGAAAACATGAGAAGCCCTAAGAAACCCGAATGAACGAAGCACCTATCTCTAGCTCGTCCTAGACCCCTAAAAACCCTAAGCCCGAAGCCCTGAACCCTGAATGTTTTCGACTTCAGGTTGGGGGCTTGAGGATGTTCAGAGTATTCCAACCCCCCCCCCCCCACCCATACTCAGCCATGCCAGTAAAAAGGACATCATTTCCCGCACGGAAGAGCGAACTATGTCCTCCACAACCCGGCGCCACATTGCCGAGGGCTTCCTCTTCTTTGATTGGCGCCTTGGTCCTTGGGGGGTTCATGGTTCAGGGTTTGAGGGCTTAATTAGGCGCGCTTTCAGGGGGATAGTTTCCCCAACCACGTCTGTAGTCCTGCACCCACCCGCAGTACCCGTATGTGCTTCTTTGTACCTCCGCCTTCTGTCAGAAGCCTAGACTAGACAGTAATCCCAAAACCCAAAACCCAAAACCCAAAACCCAAAAGCCTAAACCCTAAACCCTAAACCCTAAACCCTAACTGACGCCCCTTGTGAAACGAACTTGGGAGCAAAATCCAGCCCGGTTGCTGCAGGCCAGTTGCCCTCGATGTTGAACTTCAGGTTAGCCTCAGGGCCCCCAAGGGTTTGGAGGGTTGGGGGTTTACGGCTAAATGATAACCCTAAACCCTAATAAATCCTAAACCCTAGGCCCTAAACCTTAAACCCTAAACCCTAAACCCTAAACCCTACTACCCTTAAAGCCCGAAACAAGAAACCAGGTTCGCCATCCCTCAGATCACGGCGCGCCAGCAAGGCGTCAACGAGGAAGCCACTAAGAGCGATGCCGCTTTGGCGGTTCCTGGGCGTTCTCTCCCCGAAGCTTACTTAGGGTTTAGGGTTTAGGGTTTAGGGTTTAGGGTTTTAGGGTTTTAGGGTTTTGGGGTTTTAGGGTTTTAGGTTTTTTAGGGTTTTAGGGTTTTAGGGTTTTAGGGTTTTAGGGTTTTGGGGTTTTGGGGTTTTGGGGTTTCAGGGTTTTAGGGTTTTAGGGTTTAGGGTTAGAGTTAGAGTCCCCTGTCTCCCGAAACCGTGAAATTGCGGGTTGTTGGTCGGGTTGAAGGGAGCTCCTCTTTGCAGGACGCATGGGTCGAGCGATCATGGCCCCCCGAACATCCATCTGAGCAAGACCACCCTGCACCGCAAACCCTCCTCTACCCCCCCCTTCATCGGAGAATAGGGGGGGGGGGGGGGTAGGGGTAGCCCCGAAATTCCGGAACCCTAAGCCCTAAACCCTAAACCCTGAACCCTAAACCCTAAACCCTATATAAACCGTAAGACTCCTGAACCCTGAGCCGCACCCCTACTCCCTCAACTCTGGTCCTCGTCCCAGGTTCAAAGCATTCCGGCCTATGTGGAGCTCTGCAACATGTTTATCGCCCTCGTCCCAGAGTTGCTGGGGCTTCAATCAAAATGTCTTTCTTTTTGAGAGGTTAGGGTCTGGGGGTTCGTGTTTTAGGTGGCTCGTGTTCCGCAACCCTAGGCCTCAAACCAAGCCTTGGAAACGCCCAAACCTCAAATACCCCCAAAAGCCCTAACCCTTATACCGTCAACCCCTATACGCAAAACCTCAACCCTCCACCCAACCCCTGAAGCCTCAACCCCTCTACCCAAAACCCCTGCACCCCAAATTCCTGCGGGTTTAGGGTTAGGGTGAGGGTTTAGGCTTTAAGGGTTTAGGGTTTAGGGTTTATATAGGTTTTAGGGTGTTGGGTTCAGGGTTTAGGGTTTAGGGTTTAGGGTTTAGGGTTTAGGGTTTAGGGTTTAGGGCTTGGGGAACCGAGGCTGACACACAAGGACTCGGCCAAACCAGTGAACTACGGGCCACGGGCTCAGTTGCCTCAAGCCACCAAGGGTTGTTTTGGGTTTAGGGTTTAGGGCTTAGCAGGGCTTAGCAGGGCTTCGTAGGGCTTAGCAGGGCTTAGTAGGGCTTAGCAGGGCTTAGTAGGGCCTAGTAGGGCTTAGTAGGGCTTAGTAGGGCTTAGTAGGGCTGAGGGTTGAGGGTTTAGGGTTTAGAGCGCTTAGGCCTGACCCTGAAGCTCACACAATTTTGAGCTTTCAGCCGCACCACGCCCGAGTCGGCGTATCAGGCTTCTTGAGTCCAACCCCCCCCCGCCAACACGCTCACGGCAAGACACTGCAGCAGATGATCGGCAAGGCAAGAACTTCTTCATCCCGGCAGCCCGAATCCGAACCCCCTAAACCCCCTAAACCCCCTAAACCCCCTAAACCCCCTAAACCCCCTAAACCCCCTAAACCCCCTAAACCCCCTAAACCCCCTAAACCCCCTAAACCCCTAAACTGCCTGAACCCCCTAAACCCCTAAACTGCCTGAACCCCCTCAACCGATTCCCCCAAACCCTGATCCCTAAACCCCAAACCCTAAACCCTAAACCCCAAACCCCAAACCCCAAACCCTAAACCCCAAACCCCAAACCCCAAACCCCAAACCCTAAACCCCAAACCCCAAACCCCAAACCCCAAACCCTAAACCCTAAACCCTAAACCCTAAACCCCAAACCCCAAACCCCAAACCCTAAACCCTAAACCCCAAACCCTAAACCCTAAACCCCCAAACCCCCAAACCCCAACAAGGACGTGGCTCTCGAGGGGCTGGTGCCGGGCGGAGCTTTGGTGCCGTCTCTTGTCCAACAAGGCCGGGCCTGGATTTTGTTGGGGTTTAGGGTTTAGGGTTTAGGGTTTAGGGTTTAGGGTTTCGTGCCCCAAAATGCAGTGAGGGTTTAGGGTTCTAGGCGTTGCAAGCGCCAAACCCTAAACCCTAAACCCTAAACCCTAAACCCCAAACCCCAAACCCTAAACCCTAAACCCTAAACCCTAAACCCTAAACCCTAAACCCTAAACCCTAAAGCCTAAAGCCTAAACCCTAAACCCTAAACCCTAAACCCTAAACCTCAAACCCTAAACCCTAAACCCTAAACCCAAAGCCCTAAACACTAAACCCTAAACCCTAAACCCTAAACCAGATCCCAGAGCCCTGAAGTACCATCCCTGAGACACAGCCTGTAACCTAAGCCCTGGATTTAGGGTTTACACTGTGTGTATCAGTGTACGCGCGCTGGGAGTGCGCCTGTTCTTCAGATTCGGAGTTGCGTGGTAACACGCGTCGCCAAAGGGGTTTGGTAGGAGTTGCTGGGAGGTTTTAGCCTCCGAGGCCGGTAGGTTCGCCACGCGCCAGGGTAGAGCTCTGTCCGAGAGGCTCGCGCACCCATGTATATGGGCAGCAGTGCTCTCGCCAGTTTAGGGTTCAGGGTTTGCCGTTGAGGGTTTAGGCTTTGGGCTTCAAAGTACAGGCATAAAATATGGACCCTCTGGTCCCTTCTTGTGGATCACAAGCTTAGGGCCACAATTGGGGTCCATGCCTGGCTTAGGTTTTAGGGAGTTTAGGGCAGGCGTAGACTCTCCGCCTCCGCGACCCTAGATAGTTCAAGGTTTAGGGTTTAGGGTTTAGGGCTTAGGGTTTAGGGTTTAGGGTTTAGGGTTTAGGGTTTAGGGTTTAGGGTTTAGGGTCAACCCAGAAACCCCAGCGATCCCCCCATCAGGTCGACACCAGCGTGGTCGTGGCGTACTCGGCCGCTGAGGCCGAGTATATGCTTCTTGGGGAAATGATGCAGTGTTCACTGTACCGGACTGTTTGAAAGGTCCAAGACCTAAACCCTGACAGACCAGACGAATTGTTGCCAGGGCTCCCTAGATCCTAAACCCTAAACCCAAAACAAAACCCAAAACCCAAAACCCAAAACCCTAAACCCTAAACCCTAAACCCTCAACCACCTATGAAGGGTTGAAACCCAGGATGAAGGGCTGCAAGAGGACTCCATGGGGGCTTAGGGACACACGAAAGACCTCCCCAATTACGAGCCTCCTCAAGGGCTTCCGAAGGCTTCCCCAACACGGAGTTCCCGTGTGAAGCCCTCAAGAGCTAGAAGCCTAAACCTTAAGTCCCTAAACCCCTGAAACCCTCAACCCTGACACCCTAAACCCCAAACCCCAAACCCAACACTTAAACCCCTTTTAATGTCCGACCCAGGTTCCCCCTCGACTGGCAGTACAACAGCATCTTGCCTTTCCACAACCGATGTGATCTGCAGGGCTGGCCTTCTTGCGGTGTATGGTTTAGTTTTCCAGAAGCCCAAAACCCCAAAACCCTAAGCGCCAAAGTTTGCTCTAATTCAACCCTAAACCCTAAACCCTAAACCCTAAACCCTAAACCCTAAACCCTAAACCCTAAACCCTAAACCCTAAACCCTTGTGAAACCCTAAACCCAAACAGCGAAGTTTGGGACGCGGAGGCATCGCCGAGGGGGAGTTCACAGTGGAAGCGGATCGAGCAGAGGTAGTTCGTCTGGGGGAGATGGCTGTCGAAAGCAAAATCCATCATCTGCAGATGCAAGGACCAGTGGTTTAGGGCTTCGGGTTTAGGGTTTAGGGTTAGGGCTTTAGGGCTTATAGGCTTATGGGTTTAGGGCTTATGGGGTTTAGGGCTTCTAGGGCTTTAGGATTCTATGGTTTTAGGATTTTAGGGTTTTGGGGTTTTAGGATTCTAGGGGCTTAGGGTTTAGGTTGTAGGGTTCAGGATCGGGTCTAGGATTTGGGTACGTCCCCTAAGCCCTAAGTAAACCCTATACACCCTAATGAAGCCCTGAACCTACTCCAAGCTATCGGCTGATACAGGAGCCCATTGAAAAGCCCTCTACGCCCTACAGGCCCTACAAGCTCTCACCTCTAAACCCGACAGAGCCGAACAGCAACCCTAGGGCCCTAGGAGGCCTTTAAGCACAAAGCCTAAACCCTCTCCAGGACCCTCAAGCCCCAAAAGCCATGAAATCCCTAAACACCCTGAAAGCCCTATACACCTTAAACCCTAAACCCTAAACCCTGAGCCCTGAACCCTAAAACCCTAAAGGACCGTTGAACCACTACCGCTTCTATGCGGCTCTTCGGCCGTCGCTCCTCTGTGAGCCGCGGCGGGAGCGGGGTGTCCAGGACGGGGGTTCGCAACTCTTATAGGATGCCGGACCCGCTTAGGTTTTAGGGTTTGGGATTAAATTTTGGGTTGAGGGTTGAGGGTTTAGGGTTTAGAGTTTCGGGTCTGAGGTCTGGGGTTTAGGGTTTAGGGCGTCTCAGTCGAGGAGGCGCGCGCCCCCGACTTATTGAGCCCCACCCCGCTTGCGCTCCACCCTCGCCTTGACCTTGGCCGGTTTAGCGTTTATTTGCTTTCTGATCGTGCTCATGCATCCTTGTGAAGCCTTTAATGCAAAATCTCGGGTTTGGAAGAGTTTGGGAGCAATAAAATGGAGGCTCCGGCAAGTGTCCAGGAGGCTTCGGTAGCTGAGGTTTGTCGTTGGGGTTGGCTGGCGCCTTCGCCCCGTGGCGTTGCAAAGGATGATGTACATCCTTCTACTGTGGGGCTTCTGGGGAGGCCTCGGATCTCTGCTGGTTAATGTGGCTGGCGCTTTGGGAGCCGAGGGCTTCTACAGAGCTCCAGGCGCCGCGAGCCATGGGGCCGCGCAAAAAGCACGTCTGCCCCCGAAAGCCCCAAAACCCGGAAAGTTAGAAGGCATTTGCGGCCACCTCTCACCGAATCCTGGGGCACTCTTGCTATGTCGCTTTGAAAATGAGCAAAATTAGCTCCTGAAAAGGTCGGGGGTCCTGGGAGGGCCGAAGCCCTTAAGAGCCGCTGGACGGCCGCTAGGCTTTTGGGAGGCTTGAACGGCTCTTTCAAAAGGTTTTGGAAGCTTTAGAGGCCTGCAGGCGCCTGGCTGGAAGTGCAATTTCGAGGTTGCTAAAGGTCAGTTGGAGGTTGCTGCGTTCTGCCCGAAGCTTTAGGGTGTCTCATCTGTGCTGAGCGTGTGCGTATTGTATATTCGTTGTGGTTGTGTCAGTTGCAAGTCTGTGTCGGACTCGAAGTCTTTTCAGGCATCTCGGTTTATGAGCATGTCTAATCCCAGCTCCAAAAGACCCCCAGATCAGGTTTGAGTGCAAGGCGGCGCTGTTGGCTCTACACAGTCTCTGTCCTGGCAGCTGGCATCTACGCAAAGTCCTGAGCGCCGCTGTGATTGTACTCCGTGTTTTCACGCGTCCGTTTTTTTGAGGATGAAGCCTTGCTCAGCAAGGTACAAGCGTTGCTGCAGCAGATGCCACTGCGGGTCACGCAGAAGTTCGAGGTCGTTGCTTGGTCTGCCGGGGCAGGCTTTGCAATCTTGTGAGTGATTTAAGTCAGTGCGGCTTCTTCTCGCCTTGGTGGTTCTGTGGCCCTACTGAGCTGCTGTGTGAAAGAGCACCTCACGCAGTTCACAGAATCCAAGAGAACCTGCCAGTGGTTGCACACTGCATAGCTTTGTACCTTGTCTGAACGCACGCTGCTGGGGTTCCATGCGCTGGACCATCTTGCTGCAGCTAACAAGGTGGTGAATGGGCCGGATGGACGTTGCCGATGGCTGAGGGGGGGAGGTCTCCTGCGTCTCGGGCTCTACGCGCGAGATGTGATTTCGAGTTTTACCGCCGCGCTGGCCTTGTCAGCTCTGGTCCACGTGCACTCCCAGCAGGCCTGGCGGCTGCGCAGTCTGAGTGGAAGTCGCTGGAGCAGGGGAGGGGAGTGCTTCAGGGTGCAATTTTTCATGAAGGCTTGCGTTCGCCCTTGGCCCTGCTCACAGGAATGCTGAGCTGCTAAAGGCGTCCTTCGTGTCGGAGCCAGTTCAAGGGCCTGAAAGTGCGGCTGCACGCTCACAATCCCAGCGGGCCATCCTTCATCCTGGCTCGAGCAAATAATATGATACTGCGTTCTTTTCTGAGATGTTTTTCCTGCAGGTGCCGTGCAGTTAAACGGGGTGTGCAATCACTATTCTGAACGTCTGCGTGCAGGATCTCTTGTCGGAAGTCACAGCGGACGTCAAGGCAACAGTTCCTTTGGAAATCCAGACGCGATGCGTTTTGGAGCAGAAGCCTTGCCTAATTGTCATTGGAGGCACAGGTTTGGGGCAACGGGTCAATGAAGACACGTGGGCATTTCAGGAGAGTTACGGGGATACGACACTTGAACCTGACAATGCCTGCAGGCCGTGGTGCACGCCGCAGCGATTTTCAAGTCCTTGGGCGACACGGCTGAGGTTGCCATCCAGAAGTTCAAAGAGGAGTTGACTCGAACGCAAGAGATGTTTCGTGGTGCCAAGAAGCGTAGCCAGGCAGAGCTGCAGTCAGCAGCGAGCTCGGGCGAGAACAAGAGGCATTCAAGCCTCAGCATCAGCAGCGATCCCTCCCATTGAGGCAGAGGTGATGAAGGGCGATTTCTACGAACTCGATGGGGACTGGACATTTACACGTAGTCGCAAGATGGGCGCGTCGTTCCACTGATGGGTGGTGCGCGACACAGTGCTGCATGGCTGACGCGTGCGGGCCGACTGTAGTAGTCGGGCCTCGGCTCATAGGATTCAAGTTGTATGCACGGCTGCAGTGAGCTGGGCCTGCAACAGCTCATGTCTTGCTTAACTGACTGCAGGACTTCACGCCTGCAAACCACAGACTCCATGATCTGAATCTGGAACTGCGACCCTGTAGCACCGCATCACACACAGGAACATCTTTAGAAGGGTTGACGCATGACTGTTAAACACCTTTGCGGCGCTGGAGTCAGGGACGGACGCGTGTTTCACACCCACTGGCCTCCACAGCCAGGGACATGCAGCGGTTTTGGCTTGAGGGTTTACGGCGCAGGGCCCTGCGGTTAAGGGTTTAGTTTTTAGGGAACTCAAAACCGAACCCTGCGCTAGGGCGCTAGGGACGGCAAAGGCGTACGATTGTAAACCGAGCATCATCTCTTCGCCCGTGCGAAATTCCTGAGCTCACCAGGACATAGCTGTTGCAAGCATCTGCCTTCACTGTCTCAAGCGAATCTGATTCGGACAATTGTTGTAGGTCGGAGGTGCAGGCAACCGTGTGACAAATCCAAGGCTCCAAGACATACACATGGATGCGTCGAGGCTCATGCCGCTGCGAATCCCTGGAACTCTTCAATGGCTGGGACACCTTGACGAGGGTGGCAGCTACAGATAGAAAGGCCAACAAATGGATTTCTACCAATGCAATCAACGCAAAGCAGTTTCAGGGGTTGTCCAGGCTTTGCGCGCGCTTGCAGAGGCCTACGGTGCTCTTCGAAAGATGGGTGTGGACACAACCAAGCTCGCCCAGCTTCACAAGCAACTGCGTCCAGCAAGGGTCATCTGGAACTCTTGCCAAGCTGTGAAGGTTCTGATGAGACCTGGAAGCTGATCAACATCCAAGCAACCGCCAAATATGAGATGAGCAGCTGGACGGTTTACCTCCGAGGCAGAAGCTCTTGGCCAAGGTCACAGCAAACGCAAACAAAAGCGCGCAAGGCCTCCGCAGAAGAAAAAAAGCGCAAGGCCTCCACAGCACAAAGAACAACACAAGGCCTCCACAGCCCCAAAAAAATTGCACGCACGACACCTCCACATAACCTTCAGGTTGGACAGCCTGAGCTCCAAGTTCTTCGGGGCCGTTACGCTCTCACCATGGGACCCAGCCCACTTAAGCCACTTGGCTTGCAGAGCTATAGGTTGAGGCTGAGAGTTGTGTTCAAGAGCTTTGGGGTCGGGCCCCACCCTCAGCCACACATGCTAAAGCTTAATTACCGCAGCCCCCAAGGACAAGTGTGCCGGCTGCCAGGTCCGTAGGCCGCCAGGTCCGTAGGTCGCAAGACCTCCGTGTTTCGTCTGAATGTGCTACAAGTGCTTTGCAATGAGGTGTTGGTGCCAGTCAACACATGCAACGACTCGAGGCAGGTACACAAAGTCGCTTGTTGCGCAGAAAGTCTGTGGATGGCATTGGCAGATCTATTGCTGTAGCCCCGGAACTCCTCCATCAACCCTGTACACCCGAACTCTGCAGGCCCGGGGCCCCGGGACAGCCTCAGCCCATATTTAGAAATTGGCCGCACTATTTTCAGAGTTTGGCCGCTTTATTTTCAGAATTTGGCCGCTTCATTTTCAGAATTTGGCCGCTTTGTTTTTCAGAAGAAGTACTATGTTCGGATGTAGTGGGATTCTGCGGGCGGGTGTTGGTTTGGTCGAGAGAATGGCTGGACTACACCCCGAGTGCTGGGCGGGTGGCAAAAAAACCCTAAACCCTAGAAACCCTAGAAACCCTAGAAGCCCTATAAGCCCTATAAGCCCTATAAGCCCTATAAACCCTATAAACCCTATAAACCCTATAAGCCCTATAAACCTCTAAACCCTATAAACCCTATAAACCCTATAAACCCTATAAACCCTATAAACCCTAAACCAATACAATTGGCCAAAATGAAGGTGCACCCCTCGATGGCCCGGGCTCACTCAGTTTAGGGTTTAGGGTTTAGGTTTAGGGTTTAGGGTTTAGGGTTTACGATTTAGGGTTTAGGGTTTAGGGTTGAGGGTTTAGGGTTTAGGGTTTACCTTTAACAGGAGTTCTTGGAGCTCTTCCACTTCAAGGACTTGGAGGACGCAGCGCGGGACACCAGCGGCATGAACGCCGTCATGTGCGCCGTCTTCTCCGGGGACCCTTGGGAGCCAAAGGAGCCTTATTAGGGTTTAGGGTTTAGGGTTTAGGGTTTGGGGTTTAGGGTTGGGGATCATATGATGCTACAATGCATATCATCTCCTAGGACCCAGAGTAGGCCCTAGTCTTTTTTTTCAGGGTTCGGGTTCCCTTATAAGGCCGCCTAAACCAAAAAGGGCAGCCTCTTTTATTCCCAAGGTTGCTCTTGGGTCTAGTCTCAATTGAGGTGCATTGGGCTCCTTTGCTGCCTCGGCTAGGAATCATCATCCCTCTCAAGGTATATGGAACCCTGAACCCTGAACCAGGCACCCTAAACCCTGAACCCTGAACCCTGAACCCTGAACCCTAAAGGGCTCGTTTCGTCCCCAAGGACACGGGCATGCTCCGGCTGCTGGCCGAGAGGCGGGCGGACATGAACCACACTCTCCAAGGTATCTCGGACCGAGTCATCATTTGTGTAATTAAAGTTTAGGCCGGAGGGGCTTAGGGTCTCGCTCTTGTGCTCTCTCTCTCTCTCTCTCTCTCTCTGTCTTTCTCTCTTCTCTCCCTCTCTTAAAAGTTTTTGGAGGGTTTAGGTTCCCTCAAAGTCCCCTTTCAGCAGAGAAGGCTAAGTCTGGCGTAGGGGGTGGTTTAGGGTTTTGGGTTTAGGCTTTCAGGTTTAGGGTTTTGGGTTTAGACTCGGGGAAGGTCTGGGGGATCTCGGGTATTACGACACGCAGACGGCCCTGATGGTTGCAGCGAAGTCGCGGCAGGACCCCCTGCTTCTTAGCAGGGAATGAGGGAATGAGGTAGCTTATATCCCCTTATATAGAGTCTATATTCTAGACCCCCTCACCTAAACCCTAACCCTAAACCCTAAGCCCTAAGCCCTAATTAAACCCTAAACCCTAAACCCTAAACCTCTCTTTCATATATAATTTAAATGTTAGTGGAATTACTGGTCAAGGTCATTCATTTACTGGGCAAGGTCTTTTTTTAGTGGGCAAGGTCGTTCGGTCCAAACAACGACCTTGCCCAGTAAAAAATCACCTTGCCCAGTAAAAAATGGCCTTGCCCTCTTTTACCGGGCAAGGTCACTTTTTTTACTGGGCAAGGTCATTTATTTTCACTGGGCAGGGTCATTTTTTTTTTTACTGGGCAAGGTCATTTTTTTTTACTGGGCAAGGTCATTTTTTTACTGGGCAAGGTCATCTTTTTCCTGGGCCCAGTACAAAGATCACCTTGCCCAGTAACAAAGCATGACCTTGCCCAGTAAATCTTTTACTGGGCAAGGTCGTTTTCTGCTGGGCAAGGTTTGTTTTGCTGGGCAAGGTCGCTTTTTTACTGGGCAAAGTCTTTTTTTACTGGGCAAGGTCAATTGTTTACTGGGCAAGGTCATTTTTTTACTGGGCAAGGTCATTTTTTACTGGGCTAGGTCGTTCCATAAGTGAAATATTTTCTTCATGTTGTGGGATTCTTTGGGCGGGTGGGTATTTTTCTGGAGTAACTTCTTGACTAGTGAATGCTTGGACTTGAAATGCTAAGCCCTAAGCCCTAAACCCTAAACCCTACACCCTAAACCCTAAACCCTTAATCCTGAACCCTTAACCCTTAACCCTTAACCCTTAAACCCTAAACCCTATCCCTTTCAGGGATTCTTGCCATTACCAAAATACCCTCATTCCCCGACTCAGAACCAGTAAGAGGAAGCGCCGGTGCTGGCGACCCTCCTGGAGCTCCGCGCCCATGTGAATGGTACCTCGCGAGCTGGAATCACCGCCTTGCTTCTGGGATTCAGGAAGGTCTTAGGGTCTGGTGTTTGGGGTTTGGGGGTGCAGGGTTTGGGGTTTAGGGTTTAGGGTTTGGGGGTTTAGGGTTTAGGCTTGTGGGTCTTGGAATCACGCCTTGTTTCTGGGACTCAGGAATTCTGAGGCCCATATCATCCCCAGCCCATAAACACTGTAAGCCTTCTAGTGGTGGTGGCTCGTTGATTTCCTTTCTACTTTGCTGTCTTCCTCAGGGAACCCTAAACCCTAAATCCTAAACCCTAAACCCTAAACCCTAAACCCTAAACCCTAAACCCTAAACCCTAAACCCTAAACCCTGAACCCCGCATCGAACCACCAGTGGGAGAGCCGAGGTATCTGAGCCGATCGCGCGAGCACGTCAAAGTACTGCTGGAGCATCGCGCGGACATGCCCCTGACTGTCTTACGCGGGGCTGCAACTTACGGGGGCCCTGAGACGGTCAAAGCCCTGCTCGATGCCCGATGTGACGCCACGCACCTCGATGACATCGGCGCCAGCCCCTTGAATGGCCTGGCCCTCTTCTCACGTAGCAACAGCACGGCCCTGGAGACGGCCCGGCTCTTGCTGGCACACCGCGCCGACGTCAACGCAAGCACGAGGCCCAGCGACACCCTGGCGCTCTGGAGTTGCCGGCTCTCCCGCGTGCAGGCGGGTGGTTGTCTTTTGGATCCCCATGATAATACGGCACCTGAATATGTATAAGTACCCCCAAAAAAGGGGACCATAATACAACCACCCAAGGTGGCGATCTTCGGCTACTCCAACTGCCGGAAGATGGCCCGGCTCATGGCCTCCCTGCCCGGGATCTCGCCCCTGGGCTGCGCGGCCATGGTCGGAAACTCGGAGCTCGTGGAGCTCTTCCTGGAACATGGCGCTGAGCTGTCGCAGAACGACCGAGGGGACTGGCCCGAAGACCTAGCAAGGATGAACCTCGGGAACTCTGTTTAGGGGTGGGAACTCTTTCTAGGGCTCATTTGGGTTTTGGGATGAAGGGTCTGGGAATCTTTGGTTAAAAGGTAAAGTACATGGTTCTGAACTCTGGCCCTCGGGGTTTACATGGTGTTAGATAAGGTTTCCGGAGCTGCGGGGACTAAGGGCCTTTGTAACTTGTAGCTACCTTAAGATTGGTGCCGTCGTTGCTGCCTAGAGGATGCGCGTTTTTTTTTTTTTTTTTTTTTTGGGGTTTTTGTTTGAAGACCAACAGAGGAACAATCACTACAACCTCCTGCCCTGCTGGCCACGTTCGCACCTAGGCATTCTCCTGCCAAGGTTCCTTCCAAGACGGGACACGGGACTTCCAGCGGGGGTTTCCAAAATTAGGGGGGTGCCCGATTAAGGTCCTTACTCTAAAAGAATCCCGTATCATTTGGGGTCCTATCTTAGGGTCCCCTATTTTTGTAAACCCCTGGCAGCAACTGCCGCAAAGAATCGGCGATCGCTGTGAAGACCGCTGCGAGTGCATGGGCAGTTGCTCTAAAGGTATGGGCCCGTTTGGGGCACCTAAGCATAGTCTCCCTAAACCCTACAAACCCCAAACCCCAAACCCTAACCCTAAAACCCTAAACCCTAAACCCTAACCCTAAACTAAACCTAAACCCTAACCCTAAAAAAACCTAAACCCTAAACCCTCAAGCAACCCAGAGTGTGGCCCACAGTTAGAAAACTGCCCATGTGGTCGTCGCGTGGCTTCAGGCGAAAAGAATGTTGTTTCCTGTCGGTCAAGAACTGCTTTCCCCATTGGTTAGAATTCCTGGGGATGTGAACTTGAGTGGAGCACGACACCCGAAACCTAAGACCTAAAAACCCAAACCCAAACCCAAAACCCTAAATCCTAAACCCTAAACCCTAAACCCTAACCCTAGACCTAGACCCTAGACCCTAAACCTAGGCCCGAAGCCAAATGCTAAGTCAGTGCTAACATCGATCGGCTGACCACGGGGATAGTGTTCAATAAGCCTCCTAATTTATCAGGGTTTAGGGTTTAGGGTTTAGGGTTTAGGGCTTAGGCGTAGGGGTGGGGGTGGGGGGTTAGGGTTTTTGGGGTTGGGTATTTCATCGGTTGGGTGTGCAAGGCTTTCAGGGATCTTCTACGCATCAGACGGTCGTGGGTTCTGGAGATCCCAAACATTCAAGCCTATATTGCATGGCCACAAGCCCCGACGGGAGGATGGGTTTAGGGTTAGGGTTTTTTTAGGGTTAGAGGGTTTAGGGTTTAGGGTTTAGGGTTAGGTTCGGGTTAGAGTGGTAGTAGGGTTTAGGGGTTTAGGTTTAGATGTTGGGTTTCGGGTTTAGGGGTCGGGGAGGTTTTGGGGGTTTAGGGGGGTTAGGGGGTGTTTAGGGAGTTGAGCATTGCAGGTATGAATAGGTGGTTCGCAGGGATTGGGGTTTAGGGTTTGGACTAGGCTTGGATCCACCATTAGGTACACGTAGAAGCCGACTTTGCACCTGCTGGTCACCCCCAAACCCTAAACCCTAAACCCTAAACCCTAACCCTAACCCTAACCTAATAAACACTAACCCTAAACCCGAAAAACCTAACCGCCAGGAGCCGGCCACCTGGCGCAGGCGCCGACCACTTTGAGGGCGCCCTCGTTCTTCTTGGTGGTTTTGGTTTGCGACAGGGGGGAAGGTTCAGGTAGGTTTGGGTTTAGGGCACAGTTTTGTGGTTTAGGGGTTTGGGGTTGAGTGTTTGGGTTTGGGTGGGGTTTTAGGGTTTTAGGGGTTTAGGGTTTGGTTGGTTTGCGGTGTGGTTTGGGGAATTTTTTGTTGTGTAGTGGTTCTGTTGTGGTATCTTTAAAGTCTGTTGCTTATCTTGTGTGTTTTGTTGATCATTTGTTAAGTGGCGCACCCCCCTGCCCACATATCCCCGCGGCCAGATCTGCAGCGTGCACCTTAAGCCGAATCTGTCAAACCCGGCCCCTACATGCTGGTAAGCCCAAGACCCTAAACCCTAAACCCCTAAGCCCTAAACCCTAAACCCTAACCCTCCAAAACTCTAACCCTAAACCCTAAACCTAAACTCTAAACGCTAAAACCTAAACCCAAACCCTGAAACCTAACCTAACCCTAAACCCTAAACCCTAAACCCTAACCTAAACCCAACCTAACCCTAAACCCTGGTGAGGTGCTAGGTCTTCCGCCTGGTGATGCCGAGCGTGCGGGGCAAAGCCCTGATCCAGGCTCCGCGGCTCCCTCCGGGGTCTGTTGGTTCTGTGGTTTAGGGTTTAGGGTTTGGGGTTTGGGGTTTAGGGCTGAGGGTGCGGGTTTAGGGTTGAGGTATGGGGTTTAGGGCTGAGGGTTAGTAGTTGCAAGGGCCCTTTACGTCCGTTAACCTCCTGTTAAGGGTTCTGGATGTAGGGGCCCTTGATTTGCACAGTTATATAAGATGTGTAAGGGTGCCCTTTTTAAGGGCCCACATGAAGGGACCATTAACAACCCTTAGATGTTGGCTCAAGCCATGTTAGGGATGTTCAGGCTTGGTTGTCAAAGTTTAGGGTTTAGGGTTAGGGCTTGCTTAGGGGTTTCAGTGCTTCGTAGGGTACCCCCCAACAGACACCCAGATAAAAATAGCCAATGTGCATGAACAGTTGTAGAGAGCCCCACCTCACGTAAACCCTATATAAACACATGAAGCCCCTTAGCCGAACCCTAAACCCCATATAAGTATCTCCCAAGCCTTGAGACCATACTTAGATCCCAAACCCCACCCGCAGGAGTACATGGACCTGCCAGTCCACACCCTTTGCCTTGCCGGCTGGGCCCGCGAGCTAGAGGTTTTGGGTTTAGGGTTTAGGGTGTTGGCTACATGCTTCAGGGAAGTTTCAGGGTCGGGGGGTAGGGCCTAGGCCATGTTGCGCCAAAGAACTTCGAGTTTTTTGACCCAAAACAACCCTAAACTCTCGATCCGAACGGTTGGTAGTTTCGGAGGCGGCGGCCCTTCCCTGCCTCTCCTCCTGTCCCCTCCCGCCCTTCCGTCCCCTCATAAACCCGGAAAACCTGAGACCCTAGAACCCTATTAACCCTATCCACCCTGTAGACAAACCCTATCAACCCTGCAACCCTAACCCTACAAAACCGTACACCCTAAACCCTCAGCCCTAAGCCCTAAAACCCTAAACCCAAAACCCTAACCCGAAACCCTAAATGCACAAAAAAGAAGGTCGCTGGTGGGCCGGCCGCGGAGTCTGAGGCCCTGGCGCTTCGCGCCACGGAGCGGCGCAAGGCCGCTGGGGTAGGTGGGGTTTAGGGTTTGGGGTTAGGGTTTAGGGTTTAGGGCTTAGGGTTTAGGGTATAGGGAACGCGTATTTCGGGTATTTTGGGGCTTAGGGCATTGAGGGCATTTAGGGCGCATTTAGGGCGCATTCGGTTTTCGGGGAATCGTCAGCCTTCGGTTCGGGCAATTCCAGCTGGCTTGCATTCCAGTTGGGGACGCATATGTTTTTTCCTCTTATGTATGTATGTATGTATGTATGTATGTGTATGTATGTATGTATGTTATGTATGTATGTATGTATGTATGTATTGTATGTATTATGTATATATGTTATGTGTATATTTATTATATATATGTATCTGCGAAATGTAATCTGTACAGATATACTTGTACGTGTGAGCTGAGGGAGCTCCCCGGAGGCGCAGCTTACCGACTCTTTACACAGAAGTGCCACACAAAGAACTGCGTAGTCTCAGGGATTGGTGCTGAGCACAGGTGCTTTGGCTATACATCTCGATTTTAAAGATGCCTGGCACAGCCCTCTACACAAAGAGCCTCGAGCGGAAGGCCGTAGGCATCGAGATCACCTTGTCAACACACTCTCCCCCTCGGTAGCGCTAGTTCGCCTGACGATCACATGGTCCTGCTGTAGGATTCTTGGGAGAAAAGCAAAAGCGCCCCCAAAACAGGGTCTTACAGGCCTGTCCGGTTGCCTCCGCTGTTCATCGGCCCTTTGTATGAGGATCAGCTCGGGAACGCGGGTTCAGCAGATTAAGATCAATTTCAAGTTCAGTGCGACCGCGCCATTGGCGATCTAAGTAGGCTTGACCCGCGCCTGTCACTCGCCAGTTGTCATCTACGATTTGTGTTTCCATGTCAGCATACATCAGAAGAGTCCTCCTTCTTCCGGTGAAAACACGAAGCTCGTAAGCACTATTTGTCCTCACTGGGGAAAACATCCTGCGCCGGGGACCAATATGCCACCGGACGACCACAGTGGACCTCCCGCCCGACGGAGTTTCGTAAAAATCATCGCCGCCTGCAGGCGGCAAAAGAAACAGCGCACTTTCAGGCCCTCCCCGCCCCGATCTCACCCTCTCGATCTCGACCAGGGACATCTGTACAGGCACCGGCCAGCCGTGGCGAAGGCGGAGTGGAGGATCCGGAAATACTACAGGGTCGAGGTAAGCAACGTCATCGACGTACCTAAACTCTAAAGGTTCGCCCTGCGGTACAGCAGCATCATGGGCATTCAGCTGCGCTGCTTGAGCATCTAGCAACATCGCCCACTCCCGATCCCGAGCAGCTGCATAAGCATCACGTTCAGGCTCCGGCTCTGGAAACCTAACGGGCATGGGGGGTCGGTGTGGGGGCAGAGGAGGCGGCAGCAACTGCTCATCGTCAGCGTCCTCCCTCGTAATCTCTTCGTAATCTCTGGTCGGCGATGGGCCTCAAAAGGGAGATTATCCTCCTCAAGAGGCTCAAACTCTGGAGGCTCCGATTCTGGATCCGATTCAGGCTCTCGCGCGGGCCTTGTAGTAAAGTAGACCCAAGCATGATCCGCAACCCTCCTAACTACCTCCCACACAGCAATCACTGAAATTGTCCACAAAATCAAAAGCAAGTAAAGGGTCCAATTGTCTGAGTCGTTAGACTCAGTCACCTCGACAACCTCACGGCTGCCCTCAGAAGGATTCACACAGAGCGAAATCACCATGGAGCCCAAGATCTTCGCCAACCTTTGAACCTTGGAAGGCAAAACCGAGCCCTTAGCGGAGCCCATCCCAAGCAAACCCCGAAGCAAGTCCAGTCGCGGAGCTTGGAGAGGCTTGGTTCCAATATCCGCAGTATTAGAAGCACCTTCTAGGTGCATCACCTCCCATTGGAATAAGGCGACCTTTTCCCTTAACGCTCCTGCTCGAATTTTTAAATGTCTCGTCCGCCATGAATTCGTGTCAGCCGCCAGGACGCCAACAGCTGCTGAGTTGTCGTTCAACAGCACTTTTCGGTAGCTGCCTGCGGGATAAATCTCATCAAGAAGACAAGCTATGGCGTCGCCCATGTTGTGTCCCTGAATGGTGGAGATTAACTCCGCTTCACATGTCGATTGGGCAATAAACGGC